AGTATTTTGCGATATTGCTGTTGAACTGAATTTCATGGTTTAAGTGCGAAGAACATAATATTTAATAAATGTAGGTAACCGACAAAACGTTAAAAAAACGCCCCTTTGGACGTAATAAAAACCAGAAAGCTTTCAGATTTTTTTTATTTTATTTTTTTTCCCGAAATATCAAGAAATTTCTCTTATTTTTTTAATTTCTACTGGGGTTAATGAGTTCTTAAACTGGTAGGCGTTTTGAAACTGTTCAGCTTAAAACTGTTTCAGGTGTTAAACTGAAATACACATATAATCAGATCGCAGTTTCTTTCAGATTCAGTCTTGTGAATTTTTTTTTCCTTTTTGTTTTATAAAATTCTTTGAAAGTATTCAAATATTCATATATTTTTATTGCCACTATGGCTGAATTGACGATTTCAAACTCTGCATAACATTGTTTCATACTATTTTATTAAAGAGTAGGTAAAAAACAATAAGAAGTGTATACGATTCAAAATTATTTTAGTGCTTTGAGAGGTCTATAAATTCCAGAATTCAATCCCGTTTCAAGTGTTTAATTAGGTTGAAATAAGTGGGAATATTGTTTTATATTTTTACGAGAATCGACTGAATAAACTTTTTTGATTTTAATTGCCTTTATTTTATAAAAATGTTACAAATGGTGAACAGCTAATTTTTTCCAAACTAGAGTTTTAAATTTCAATTGTTAATAGTTAATATACAATTATATTTTGTTTACTGCTGTAAGTGGTAGGTATAATTTTTTTTTATTAATCTTTGATATTGTTTAAATTGTGTTCGTCATAAAATTTACAAATTTTGTTGTAATTTTCAATAATCATCATATTTTGCTGTAATGAAATTTCTTTTCAATAAAATGGGAAAAAAATTCAGCTGCAAAATAATAAATACTCATTAAATTGCAACTTTTACTTCTCTTACTTTGAAAAGCAAATATGAACCGATAAAAATCTGCAATCTTCAGATTAGAGTATTCAATTTAATGAGTATTTATTAATTTTTGCAGCTACTGAATTTTGTTCCCATTTTATTGAAAAAAAAATTTCATTGCAGCAAAATACAGATGATTATTGAAAATTACAAACAAAATTTGTAAATTTTATGACGAACACAATTTAAATACAATTATTCAAAGCCATAAAAATAAAAAATTATAACATACCACTTATGCAGCAGTAAACAAGAATATAATTTGTATAATTAACTATTAACAATTGAAATTATAAACTCTAGTTTCGGAAAAAATTATGCTGTTCACCATTTGTAACATTTTATAAAATAAAGGCAATTAAATCAAGAAAAGTTTATTCAGTCGATTCTCGTAAAAATATAAAACAAATATTCCCACTTATTTCAACCTAATTAAACACTTGAAACAGGGATTTGAATTCTGAATATTTATAGACCTCTCAAAGCAATAAAATATATTTTGAATTCGTATACACTTCTATTGTAGGAGTTTTTACCTACTCTTTAATAAAACAGTATGAACAGATGTTATGCAGAGTTTGAAATCGTTCAATTCAGCCATTTAGTGGCAATAAAATTTGAATATTTAGGATCATATAAAGTAAATAACTTAGAAGGTGAGGCGAAAATCTGGGCGCAGATTTAGAAAAATGGTTTTAGAATAATGAGCTATTCTTCAGACCATTGCATGTGTGCGGACTGTTAATTTCGTTTTTTCATTTTACGTTGATTCACGATAAGCGTTGTTTCACATTTCAAAATTGTTGCCACGAACTATTATCCCCCTGTATTATATTTAAAGAAATTAAATAATGAAGAATCTGAATACGTATATTTTTCGCATTGTGATAAAACAACTGTACCTAGAGCCATATTTGAATAACGTAATCTTCCATAGAATAGGGGCATGTGGAAGCCCTAATTTGAATTTGGAATTTGTTTTGTTACCGGTTTCATATTTTGTAAAACTTTAACGAATTTTTTATTAACAAACTCAACGATTTCAAAGCGAGCATTGGCAACACTATTACCCACCCCCCACCCCACTCCCCAAAAAAAACCCATTTTTATCTCCACCGCGCGAGACACTGTATCGGAAATTCTAAAGATATGCTCATTTTAAAATTATTTTGCGACATTGCTGTTGACTGAATTTTATGGTTTAAGTGCAAAGAACATGATATTTAATAAATAAAGCTAACACACAAAGCGTTAAAAATGCCCCTTTAGACGAAATTTAAAGTCTAAAACCTTCAGTTTTTTTTTTTTTTTTTTGTTAAAATTTATTTCTGCTAATAATTTTAGACTACTTTAAGTATCAAAAGTGCTACTTAATTGTATTACGTAGATAATTTTTATTATTATTATTATTATTATTAATAACGTGCTTCACCATTAGGCACTGCACGGAAAGGGAGAGATATGTTCCGTGGAGGACTTTTTAAGGGAAACTGGCTAGTTTGCACGTTCGTTACATATGGGGAAAACTATGAAAACGCCCATGCAGCTAGTCTTTTACCAGAACATTCGGACTACCAGAACTACCAGAATTCCGGACCGAATCAGCAGTGTTCAGCGGTTTTTACCGCTCGGTCGCTGGTGGGCCATATTTCCTAGTTTAATTAACCGATTCTAATAAAACACCCGACTACTATTTGACCTAAGAGAAAAATGCCATGCATTTACTTTCTAAAGGTAATCGGCTCTTAAATACGTAACACACGAAGAAAACTACTATTCAGAAAGAGGGGGGGGAAACTTAATTCACTCTCATGATACGAAATGTTTCTTGTGTTCACATTTAGGCAAAAAATAAAAAATTTAAAGTAAGGAAAAAGTTTCTATTCATTGAAATAGAATTCAGGATGTTTCCAATCCTTCTTCCTCTCCCCCCCCCGTCTTTTGAATTACTCAAAACTAAAGAAATTTTTAAATATTTCGAGGAGGGGGACGCAAAAACAGAATGGCGGAAATAGAAATTCGAGGTGATCAACTTTATTAAGAGTTTAAAAAAATTCACCAAGGTATTAAAATATAGCAAAACTCTTGTAAAAAGCTAGCGAGAAAGAACTGCTTTGCGAATTAGCTAAAATTTATAAAAGTAACATATTAAAAAATGTATTCCCCACAGCAAAATATTATAAAAAATGTTCCTATCTATAACCGTATAATATGACGCCTTCGATAATCGAATCAATTATAAAAGTATTTTGTGAAATAGTCAAAGTTTATATACTCGAAATGAAATGACTTCTGTGTTATAAAAATGCATATTTCAATACTTTTTGCTACTTTTACATCGTAGCATTCAGGACATACTGAACCGTGAAAAACAGAAGTGACAGTGATAAAAATTACTTTGTTCAGAAATGAGAATATTATCGTAAAAGTCACCGAGGTTTAAGTGTTAAGCATAAAGTAAAATTATTTAGTCGTTTTAAAGGACCAATGAGGGATTCAAGAAGGAAAACACAAGAAATGCTTTTATGATATATTTCTCAAAAGCCAATCCTTTAGCCTTTAGCAAAAGCAGTAATACTAATCTTATTATGAAATGGCCTCATAAGTAAAATGATCCAGAAAGGTCATAAAATAGGGCTTTGTAAAATATTTTACAAGAAATAAGAGGGAGTTTGAAAAGCCATATATATATAAACTTGTTATGTTAAAAAAAATATTCTACAAGAAAGATAAGAAATTGAGGAAGGATAACCAAATTGAGGAAGAGTAACAAACTAGATGGTTAAAGGTATTCTACAAGAAGGACGACAAAGAACATATTGAAAGATTCCTTAAGGATTCTATAACATTGCGAAACAAGGATATTAATTTTATTACTGTTATATATGTGGAGGGTAATGGAGGATTTTGGAGAGTTAAGGGATTACTTGTAAATATTTTGTAAAAATGTATATTTTATCAATACTGGATTCTTTTCTTTTACTAATGAAGAGCCAACTCTTTTCAAAAGTCACAATTATAGCCCGAATTGAATGAAGATTTTTATCTAATTTTCTAATTTCCTTGCCTTTTGCCAGTATTTAGGTTAAGTTTTGATTGAACTTGTAACTTCAGTTTTAATAATGCAGTCTAGTAAAAAAAAAAAATAAATAAATAAATAAAAAATAAAAATAAAAAAAAAAAAATCTGAAATGTTTCAGATTTTAAATTACGTCCAAAGGGGCGTTTTTTAACATTTTGTGTGTTACCTTTCTTTATTAAATATCATGTTCCTCGCACTTAAACCATAAGATCCAGTGCAACAGCAATATCGCAAAATAGTTTTAAAACGAGCATATCTTTAGAATTTCCGATACAGAGACTCACGCGCTGGAGATAAAAATGTTTTTTCTGCACAACGTTGCCATTGCTCGCTTTGAAATCCTTGAGTTTGTTAATCAAAAATTCGTCAAAGTTTTAAAAAATAGGAAATCGATCATAAAACAAATTTCAAATTTCAAATTTGGTCTTCCACATGCTCATATTCGTTGGAGGATTACGTTATTCAAAATTCGATGACTCTATGTACCGTTGTTTATTCACAATACGAGAAATATACATACATTTATGCAGATTTTTCATTATTTAATTTCTTCAAATATAATGCAGGACTCTAACATTTTGTGGCAACAGTTTGAAAAGTGAACCGACATTTATGAGTCCGACGCAAAATGCCAAAACGATACTAATAGTCCTTCGGGATTCAAATCCCTTTGGACTAAAAACTTACAATAGTTCTCTATTTTTGTTCGTAATTTTCTTTTTCATTCTCATTCAGTTTAAATTAATTCAATTTAAATTTATTCAATTAAATTAAATTATCTAATCGAATTCAATTAACTTATTTTTTCATAATTTTTTTACTATTTTTTTTCCAAAAAAGTTTACTCTTTTGTTATTTTTACAAACAGTAGCAGTGCATTTTTTACATTTTTTTGCTTTTACACTTTTTACAATGACTCATAGTTGGCAACATTTTTGCACGCTAACAAGCCTAGCCTTTTATTTTTTAGATTTTTGGGATTTACAACATGGTTTTTACAATAGCTCTCACAGGTAACAGCTTTACACTCAACTTTACATTGTATTAGCGACCTCTATTTTTACAGTTAGCAGCACAAACTTCTCGACTCAACTTGTTTAGCAAATACTGGTACAGCTCAGGTTCAAATATGTCACTAGGTAAGTTAAATTAAAACTTGCTATTTACTTACCTTTTTATTATTTTTATTTATTTTTTACTTGTTGTATAAAGTTTATTTTATTTTTACATGCATAATTCGTGTAGAGGAAGTTTCCTGTAGGCAAGAGTTTCTAAATTACTTTGTTTTTCTAAAAAATTTGGTTTTCTTCTCTTAATTGACTTTTTATTAATTTAATTAATTAATTTTAACCAGGTCATTTACTTGCTATTTTCTCAAAGTTTCACCGTTTAAATTTATTTTTATTTTTATTTATTTATTTTTTGTAATTCACTACATTTTATTCACTTTTGGCTTTGAATACTTTTGCCTATATGTATGACGAAACACGAATTGAGTAATCGAAGAGTTAGGTATAGGGGCAACTTCCCCTTGATAAGTCTGTTCCTGCCTGCTCAACAATTATTCACTTATGCAATTTTTAGGAATAATATATTTTTTCATGGTTTTAGACAAGTGCAATTAATTTACATATGCTCTTAGAATTTAAATGATATCGTAAATTAGTTCGCAGCAATAATAATTATTCTTATTTTTATTTCTTTGCGATTAAAGCATGTTAATTAAATTTTAAATTTTAATTTTATGTTTGTTTTATACGAATAGAGAATTTTATATTTGCTTTGTACGAATAAAGAATATTTGTTAAATACATATATATAATATATATATGTGTGTGTGTGTAACATTCGACAACAAGGATATTGGAGAAATCTACAAAAAGGATAACAAGTTGAAGGTATCCTACAAGAAGGATAACGAAGCGAATATCTTAGCAGTATCACACATTAAAAGGTAAAACTAAATAAATATACTTCCTTTTTCCCTACAGGTCGAGGGGGGGGAAAGAAAGCTATTTTAAAAGGAAAAAGACATTAGCTAATTTGGGCTGGTATGTTTTAATTGTGTAAAATTTCTTACAGCTATTTGCAGTGAAGAAGTGACGAAATCAACAATGGCAGAATAAAGGGTGTTATGACACATGCTGCGTTCCAGCTCGTGTCGTTGCTTTGAGGTATGACATTTCATACAAAAAGCTGCTAATTTGAGAACTACATGACCTGTAAACTAAACTGTTACTTTTAATAGAAGTTCCCTTCATTGTAAATCTGCCGCCTTGCTTTTTCTTATAAGCGGAGGCCAATAGAAAGCCAGAATAACGTTTGGCGGGTCAGAAATAAAAAAGAATGGAAGAAGTATATTTTTTGCCATCCTTTGAGGAGTATCCAGGCCTATGGAAGAAAGATGGACGAAAAATAAAAGAATAGAAAAGAAAAGGAAAGTGGGATAAAGATAAAAAGAACAGGGAGGGAGAAAAAAACCTGCGAAAGATATCGTATAGCAGAGCACGTGGCTTTTGAGAAGACCATTAAGATTCAAAGAAGGGAAGGTGGGGAGGGGGAACACTGCCAAGCCCCCTAACTGTTATGTAGCCTATTTAGAGCTTTCACTTTTTCCTGTATGTCTTTTATGATTGCTGTTTTGGTAGCTTTTTACAGGGTTGGTGACGTGTGCTTTTAAAGCAACGATTTCGATTGCCTCTGTGGCATCATTTTTCTCTTCAAGTGGAATACTTGGGTCAAAAACAAAGACCCAGCTTTATATTTTACTTTCTGTCATATATACTTGTTTCAAATTTTGTTTTGATACTGATTGTGTCAGTAAGTTTTTGATTTGTAAAAATTTAAAAAAAATGGTCAAAACCCTATAGAACGTTATTAGGAACCGAAATGATTAAGCAGAATAACTAGAATTACAGCAATGAAAAATGACTTATTAAATTTAAATATAGTTGTAAATAATTTTAATAAATATTTAACATAAACTAGCGACTTTAAATAGATTAGCAATATAATAATTAGAACCCTCCCATAAAATTCTTGTAGAAACAAAAACTAATTTTATCTATAAATATTATAAAATGTTACAAATATTATAAAATTTTGCTACGTTGAAAATAAAGCTTCCAATAAAAAAGGAAAAAATAGAAAAATAGAAATGCGAGAAACATACAGCTCAATTATGAAAATTATTAAATTGGAAACAAATTCAAGCTATGTTCTAAGGTTTAAAAAAATATTATGTCAAAAGGATAGAGGTGAGAGATTGACCCTCGACACCCCTCCGGGACGGTCACCCTCAAAATTGTGGTGGAAATAGATGTCCAACCTCGAGACTCTGGCAACCATTTTTCCGTGAAGCACATGGACAAAACAACAACATGTGGTTACGTGTAAAGCATACAATGAACCAATATGTATTGTTTAAACTACATGGGATAATTTAAAATAATCCTTCATCATAGTAGTGCATATAAATGTTCTCAGGTACTCTTTCGATCTGTACGTGTTGTTTATAACAAAACACCAGTAATCGCTAGTTTCTGATTACAGTCAATCCTTAAAGATTACTAATGGTTAATGGATACTTAAAATAAGCAAATTATTTCTCTGCTTTACTGCAATTGCAGAAATTAGCACCAAAATAAAAAGTCATTGTCTTCTTTCTACAGCAGATTATTTTTTTAATTATCCTTCAAGTAATGATTAAATCGTTAACTTGCAATCACCTCTCATAGCTAATTATAAATATAATTTTTATATAGTTAGAATATTTCATATAAGAATAAGATGAAGAAAATTTTTTTATTTAATATTAAAAGTGTTTAGTTAATTAAAATTTTAAATCTACGTTTAATAAAAACAGGTTTAAGAATGTAATTTTATAAAATACACTTATGTTCATCAAGAAGATGCAACTGAAATTTAATAAATGAAGTACCAATTAAATGAATTCTGAGGTTCTCTTTCTGAATTAATTTGAGAAAAAGAAAAGAAAATTGAAAAACAGCTCAAAGTTTTATAATTTTTTTCAGTTTTTTTATCAAAGCTAGTGAGTTTATTTTAAGAGTCAAAACACGTAGACGTTAACCATGTAACCCTAAATTATCTCTAAAATCGTTAAATGTATGGCATTCAGAGTCTCCACGAGATAATCTAGGTCCAGTTAAACTGCAAGAATAGATGTCTTCTTTCCCTGAAAGCTATAAGTGAATGCCAATAAAATTCATCTTTTCAAAGTTTTGACATTAAACATTTGATGGGTTTTTTTTATTGGTTAGAATTTGAATGATGGAAAAAGCTCGAAATCTTGAGTTTTGGAATCTCGAATTTTTCCCCAGATTAATGGGATTTAACGATTAAAATGTTTGACTTATTTTATTTTCTACTGATAAACAAAAGTTACAAATTCAGTACTTTAAATATGCTACGTAGCATAACACTTTTTATTAAGGTATTTTATTTTCCATATGAGTTTTAAATGTTTTCTGATATAAAATAGAACGACGTAAAAAAATCTTTTTAAAGAGAAAAGTAAGAAATCTTTCTTAAATAATTAAATTCAAAGAGTTAAAATATTTCTTAAGCTAATCCTTTAACTGTTCGGCCACTTTCTTAATATTTAATTGCGTCTTTAAAAAAAAGGAGGGCAAAGAAGAAGGAGGTGGAGCTTTATAATATTTTTTTTAAAAAATCATTAAACTACAACGCTTAACGTAAACCCATACTGTAAAAGATTATTAAAGTAATAAGCAATGAAATACTGCTTTCAAATTAATCCGAAAATTGGACAATCATTGTCATAAATTATCGAAACCGTAAAATTTAATATTCTTCTTTTTTAGTCGTCCGACTCCAAAAATACACTTTCTGGCGTTACATTTCATCTACTTCTAAAATTACATCCAGGCATTTCGAAAATAATAATAAGGGGAGGAAACGGTCGAGCCGGTGGCGCCCCATAATAAACAGGGCCCTTTTTTTTTTATTCCCTTCGGGCTAAGCGCACCCTTATTTATAACTCGCCGATGCGGCGGTAATGGATGAAGAGAGCACGTGGTCAGAATGTCTAGACGTTTCATTAGGCAAGCCGAGAAACCAGAAAGGGCCTAGCACTTGATGGAATGTCATATCGCTAAGCCTTAATCTCGAAATTATCAGTCATATTTCATGGAAACGCTCGTTTCCCTGGATGCAGAAATTGAAATGGAAAGGATGAGGGACTTAGTACAAGCTGCGGGTGCGTTCTCTTGAAACCACATTTTTTTATGACTTCTCGAAGACTTCCGAAGATGGTTCTTCGTGAGAGTTTTATAAAAACTGGATATATGGCAAGCAAGATTTTCGTTTAAAACTGCATACTTGGCCATCGAAGTTGTGCATGATCACATGAAGTTCACGTCATCTTGGAAGAAGGGAATAGTTAAATAATAACTAGGATAATAAATTTTAAGGAAACGAATTTAAGAAAATTTTCTGAGATTTCGCAAAAAAACAGATTTTTCCACGAATGTCGAATAAATTAGTGGATATATGATTTTTTGCCTCCTTATACGAAGTAAAGGATATATTACAATCGCGAAAAATTTCGGGTATCACATTTCAACGGGAATATCCATTTTGAACATTCCCGAATCGATTTTGTTATTTTTTGCGTGACATCTGTAAGAATAAAGAAAGGACGAACAGAATAAGAACTCTTTTTCCCAAAACGGAACGTAACATGAATTTAAAATGGAGTTTTTCATGACGTCTGTACGTACGTATGTATTTCAGAAACGATTAACTCAGACACGATTGACCATAGGATGTTGATATTTTGTATATGGGAGTGCTACAACATCCAGTTGTATGCCCCCCCCCATTCTTATTGGGCAGTACCAAACGTTGTTGATATTTTGTATATGGGAGTGCTATAACATCCAGTTGTATGCCCCCCATTCTTATTGCAATGGGCAGTACCAAATGTATATATTGACAATGACAGTTTTAGAAAAAATTCATTTGGGACAAATAACGCATTCTAACTTTTAATGCGGTCTCTCGTTTCTTCTACTTATATCTGGGAAAGTTTTATACTCGTTATGAAAAAACAAAATTATAAGACTGTTGTCTCCCGTATGACAAAATTGACCAGGGT